ACCTGACCTCATGATACGCACCAAGAGCAGCAGGTTGCTATAGAGTGTAAAGCTCATGAACCATATTCACCAGGAAGTCGCTAGAACAAATTTTTGCTGAACAACTCCTGCTAACTCAATTCGCTTACAGTCAAGTCTTCATCAAATCAGCAGCGTGCATGATGTCATTGCAACCAAAACAGAAAATAAAATCCGATGGGCAGGGCATGTTGTTTATCTTGCCGGAAAGGGGTGTATGTCGCACACCAATCGGCGATATTCACGAGGAAGTAAACGATTACTCGGACGCTCCCGAAGAAGTGGCGCACACAATGGAACAGACAGTGGGTATTAAGTGGAGTCCAGAACAAGAACTTGGCATAGCTGCGCCCAGTTGATGGGAATACTCCAGTAATTAACACAGAGTGTTGACCCTGATAACCGGGGAAGTCTTCGTATTCATGGTAGGTAATTGTACAAAAAGTTAGAATTTATTTGGCATGCTAACCAAATTTAGAATTTTATTACCTGAGATCCTTCATTATAATATGAATTTATCGTTTGTTCATTCCACGGATTCCAAAGATTATCACGAAACGAAGTGACAACTGTTCGACAAAATTCTCGTCGCTTTTTCAGATTTTTTCCGAAAGGTGATGGCTTGATCGGATGGTAGTAGAGTAAATTAGCATTGTATAAATCGGACCAGTGATATCGTTTGTGCCAGACGTGAAGACCAGATGGCAAGTCTCTGTTAATCAATTTTTTCACAAATTGCAAAACTTTATCCGAATAAGCTGAGGCTCTCCAACAAAGCAACAGTGAGGTAAGATCACTGTGACAAATTTGAATACACACAATTTTTCAGGATAACTCCTACTGAGGGAATTTCTGCATTATTTGTAAAATAACAGTTTTTTTTTTTGATTTTATTATTTATAATATCGAAATTGAAAAAAAAAATTAGTGTTTGACCTTTTTCGAGAACTGAAGACAACTGAAAACAATCTTAGTATACCATTCCCAGCACTAA